CTCCTTAACCCATAGTCTGGTCATTCTCCTTCTTCCTCCTCAGCCCACAGTCTGGTCATCCTCTCTCCTTCTTCTTAGCCCACAGTATGGTCATTGTCCCTCCTCCTCCTCAGCCCACAGTCTGGTCATCCCTTCTCCTGTCCTCACCTGCTAGTCTGGGTCATCTCTCCCGGCCCAGGGTGGGCAGTAGGTGTCCCGGCTCAGTGTAGAACAGATGGATTCTTGGCATGGTTTAGGCACAGATCCCATTATCCCAAAACCTGCAGAGTGCTAATAATTTGCAAGGATAATGCTGAGCACAGTCTTAAAGTTTTCTGTAAATATTTTATTTTCCATGTTTTAGTGTCAGAAAGAAGCATTTGGTAATAAAAATAATAGAGCGTTATGTTCTTTGAGTCTTCCCACACCGGGTGGGCTCTCCCCGGGACCTTGTGGTGGCGCTGTTGACCAGCACCCCCAGTCTATTTACAGGTATTTACAGGCACAGGCTCTGCTGAAGAGCCCCCTACTCTCTGGATAAACCGCAGAGCTGGGGGGTAGGTAATTCAGGCCCATTGTCCTTCTGGGTTTTAGGAGAAAGGCATGAGGAATCCTGCTTGCAGAGTGTCATGTAGCAGGGCCTAGGGCGCTGTGGGCTCCACTGGAGGGCAGGAGTGGGAGGTAATGTCACTGTGCTTGTATGCAGCCTCATCGAGGTCCAGCAGCCTCCTGTTCACCTCCAGCGTCATGCAACCACGGTAGAACGCTGTGACTGGCGCTGCGGTCACTGGCACGTCTGGGCCATAGGGAGAGAATGGACAAGACTTAGCTCCCCATCCACGGCTGTGTTGGGCTCTGGCTTCCCACAAGGGCCTGCTTCTTTTCCTTCTCCTACTTGGCCATCCCTGGGGCATAGACACATGGGGATAGGAGGCAGTGCCAGCTCAGGGGCTCACATGGATCAGCCACTGTCACCACCTCCCCCGCCCGATGTCCTACTCCCTCATGCTGCTAGGCTTCCCCGGGTGTCACCCCCTCACAGCTTTGTTTGTTAAGACGAAGGGACTTTGTGTCTAGGGCCCAGGGCCCAGAGCCTGGCTGCTTGCAGGAAGTAGGGACCTATGTTGAGCTTGAGCAGAGCACACTGCATCCAGCTCTGCAGCCCTCACCACCACCTCGTAACACCTGGCCGCAGGAAAGGATGTTATAATGTAACTAGACATGCATTCCTCCAGTCTGTGTGAGCCAGCAGGACACAACTGATGTCCTCACTGGACCTGGGAAGGGCTGGCGGCTCCTCTGTTTGCTGCTGACAGCTCCAATACACCAAGGTCTGCCCAGCCTCCCCATCAGGCTGCAGGTAGATGCCCTCAGATGGATACTGGTGAGGTGTGGCTAGCTTGGGCCAGCACCTGCCCTGAAAGTGTTTCCTTAACCTTGGCCACTAAACTGATGCTGATCAACGCTGAGGTGTCACCATGGCCGCCAGATGACCTCCCTACAACCAAGAGTCCACTTCTGTGCATAAGCAGAGGCCAAGCTCTGTCCCCCAGGGTCATGTGCTACCACATCCCTACCTGGCAGCCCCCCGGTGAAGGTTAGCACTGGGTCATGCAGGTGCCGCCTGAGTGTGTCCAGCCTTTCCTGCAGCTGGGTGGCACTGGCCTCGCTCCAGCCACGGGTGCCATCCACCTCCAAGGTGGCTTCGCCCTCCTTCAAGGAAACAGAGACCTCGTGCTCCTGCCCATCACAGGCCTTGATCTCTACCAAGGCCAGCACCACGCTCTCCACTGCCAAGACCACCAGCTATAAGGACATGGAGGCACGTGTCAGGTTCTGCACTTGGCAACTGTGGCGATTCCCCCACCCCTGGCCTGCTTGCCTCAGTTTCCACCTAACATGAGGGGCTGGCTGGGTAGGCATGGGCAGAGAAAGTGGCCAGGGTCCTGGAGAGGCAGGCACGGCTGCCGGCCACCCAGCTCCCAATCTGGTGCACTTGGGCCCCTGCAGCTGGGTGGGTCTGAAGGAGTAGGGTATGGGATGTGCCCCTGGGGGTATCTACTCAGGAGACCAGAAGGGCTCAGGCTGGTGGATAGGGGCCATGATCTCTGTGGTCCGACCCATGTTTCCTCTCCCCTCCTTTGCCTAGAGGTGAGAGAATACAGCAGACACCCCCTAACTATGACCTGAAAGGTGCTAGTCCTAGGGTTCCTGACTGCTGACTGGTATGGGGCAGCTAGGTGCAGTGGGGACAGCATCCAGGGCAGCTGAGTTCAGGGCTCAGAGGTGCTGCCTCAGGGCCAGATGCACTGGAGCAGCAGGGTCAGCACAGTGGGCTTTTCCTGGGACAGCAGGGGGCTAAGTTTGCTGGCGAAGCCACCTGACAGATGTGAGCAGGTTGTGCTAACAGCCACACTGCCCATCTTGGAGACCTCATGCCTGGGTCCCAGTCTACCCCCCAACAGCACCTTGAACACCAGCCAGTCAGCAACAGTTTTGTTCTGAGGTCAGTGACGACCCTATGGTGTGGCCTGCACCAAGCACTCTGGTCAGACCTGTGGCTGAAGGCTTCCAGGCTGGGCCAAGCCTCTGTGTGGGGAGGTTCACAGGCCTTGGTTGTGGGGCAAGGGGCTGCGCACCTGTTTCTTGAGCTTCTTTGTGGAGTGGTAGTCGACCAGTGCCACGGAGAGCGGCACAGTGCGGTGGTCAGGTGCGCAGAGGGCAAGCAGCACCCCTGTGTCAGTGGCAGGACGGATCCGAGCCATGACTTTTATCTCCCAGGTGGTTTCAGTCCCCGTGTCCAAGGAAGTCCGCACTGCGATGAAAGCTGCGCATTACCAGGCGGTACAAGAGGCAGGAAGGCGGGAGCGAGAGCAGCCTGGCCCTAGCAGCGAAGGCACTGACTGGCAGGTCCGGGGAAGCCTTAGCACTGAGCTCTTAGGACCTGGCAGCTATCTGATCACCCGTCTGAGAAGCAACAGGGAGACTCTGGAATTCAGCTCAGATTCCTGCCCATGGCGCATAGGCTCTGGGGTCCTGGCCACGCCAGCAGCCCTACTACCAAAGGCCCCTTTAGGGGACCTCCCAGGCCACACAGCTGCCTGCAGGGCCCCCAACCTCCTGGGCCCTGCTTCTCACCCACGGCCCTGCAGGGGCATAGTTGGAGGTGGTCAGTGAGCTCATGAGACCTGCACCGTCTGGTGCAGGCTGTGTGGTGGCCCCAGGGGTGAGCATGGATCTACTCTGAGTTGCAGGTTTTGCTATTCTGGTGCCTCAGCAGAGTGACTTTACTCAGCTGTGTGTGTGCATGTGTCACAAACACATCTCAAACATGAAGCATCTAAGTGAGACATGTGGTATTTACACCTCACACATAGGTCCATGACATGTACTTGGCAGAGGGGCCGGTCCTAGCTCTCCTGGGCCGATCCTGCCCACCTTAACTCCACACTTGAATCCCCTGCTGATTAGGAAACCAGAGGGACTCTCCATAGCCTGGTTCCCAGTGCTCATCTCACCAGGAAGTTCACTGGCCTAAGGCAGAAGTGTGTTTGGGCAAAAGGACGCTGGGCCCATGTTTGCATACATTTAGGGTCAGATACCCTCTCTAAAAACCCTACTCAGGCAGGTGGACCCATGTCTCTTCCCACTGCCTGTGTGCTCCTCAAACCCAGGCCTCCAGTGCCCTGTCCCTGGCCAGCATCTACTGTGATTAGTTCTCTAAAACTGAATGTGCATAGAATTGGAGAAAGTAACAAAAGTACAGCTTTTCTTCTTTGCCAGCTTTTCCTGTGTCTGTGGAGGAAGCCAAGGGAGCACTTCCAGCCCTAAGACCCCAACAGTG